AAAGGTTATATTAAAATAAAGTAATACCTCGGAGAAACAATATGTTCGGTGGAAGTGATTGCCCATAGTGAATGGAGCTGCTGGATATAGATACAGCAATAAGATTGCTGCTGTGAGAGAAAGATACAGGGATAAGGCATCTGTAGGACAGTGCTCCTCCTGCACTGTTTTCCTGTCCCATGGAAAATTAGCATACTTTGATAGTTAGCAAAAATCACTTTTCTGATATTCCTTTTAAGTTGGAATTGAAAAACGAGAAGAGGGCATAGGAAGTAGATTTCATATAGGAGTCTTCCTTCCCATAGATTCATTTATTGAAGCAATCCCACTGTAACCAATAAGAGATTCATCATCTAACCTATCAGTCTATCAATAAGCATTTTTTTTAATATTTACTTTGTGCCAGGCACTATGCTAAGTGAGGGTGTTGCAAATACAGGCTAAAAATGCCAGTCTCTACCCTCAGAGATCTCACTTTCTAATGAGGATGACAATGTACAAATAACTGTACAAACAAGATGTATGTATACATACATAAATATATATATATAGTGGAAATGTAATATAATCATAGAGGGAAATGAGGGCCTTTTGAAGAATTAAGCATCCCATAATCTAAATTCTCAGTTTTGTAAGAAAGAAAGAAAGAAAGAAAGAAAGAAAGAAAGAGAAAGAAAAGAAGGAAGAAAGGAGGAAGGGAAGGAAGGAAGGAAAGAAGAAGGATGGAAGGAAAGAGGCTTAGTTAAGCATCATGCCTCTAACTCTTTCTTTTTTTGGAAGGGGTTGGGGGTGGGCAAGACTTGTGATTTAATCAGTATTGTGAGCTCCTGGTGAAAAATAATTTCAGATTGGTAGTTTGTTGATTTTAATAGTTTTTGGGTTGCTTATGACACTGAGAAGGTGAGTGATTTGCCCAGGGTCACACAACATCATCTGTGAAAGATGGGACTTGAACCCAGGATCTTCTACTTCACCAACTTAAACTAGCTTTTTTATCCACTGTACCTTATTGCCTCTAACATAACATAGATATGCCATCTCCCTCTAATTCCCGAAAGTTCTTTCAAAGTCTATTGATGACTCTTTT